GGTTTCGATGACAAAGATATTTTTCTGTTGCTTGCGAAATAACATGACGCATAAAATAAGTATTGCACAACGTTATCGTGTTTTTTTTTGTCTCGTGTATAAAATCTCAATGCATTTTCTTTTCTAAAGATATTCTATTTATTATATTCGTATCAAACAAACAATCAACTATTGAGTTAATTTCAAATGAATAGTGATAATGAATTAGCTATTATCGAAATTCGATGTATTCCAGACAATCCAAATGCTATTTCTGGTATTTTGAATACAAAAAAAGTTCGTTTCGATATTGAAACAAAAAGTAAAGGAGAAACAATGAAACGAACACCATTGAATTTAGTACTGGTTCTTGATCGTAGTGGATCGATGGAATCCGATAATAAATTAGCATCAGCAAAAGAAGCTCTTGTTTCTGTTGTTAAACTTCTTCATGATGATGATATAGTGCATCTTGTTGCATATGATAATGATGTATCTATTATTTTTGAAAATGCACGAGCATCTTCTCGTCAACATCTTTATCCTCTTATCAATGAAATTCAAGCTGGTGGTTCAACAAACATGTCCGGTGGTATTGAGATAGGTGCTGATCTTTTGGATAAATATATGTATGCTGGATATTCACGTCATATGTTTCTTTTTTCTGATGGACAAGCTAATGTTGGAATGAAAACACGAGCTGAATTAACAAATCTTGTTCGTGGATATAATGATAAAGGGATTATAACGGATTCATTTGGTATTGGTGCTGATTTTGATAGTGAAATAATGAAAGGTATTGCTGATGCTGGAGGATCAAGATTTTACTTTCTTGGAAGATCACAAATAATTGAACCAATTGTTGCTAAAGCTATTGTAAGTGTATTTGGTGTATGTGCATCACAAGCTCGTCTTATTGTACGTGGCAAAAATGGAACTATTCTTACGAAAATCTGGGGTCATGAAGATCTTGTTGCTGGTGCAAGTCTTGGTGATCTTCATTCACCTAATCTACGATCAATTCTATGTGAATTTACAACTTCTGGTACACCAAATGTTGATGGAACCGAAATTGAAGTACTTACATATGAATTACGATATACTCGACCAAATGATCCTAATGGTCAAGCTAAAGTGATCAAAAATACTTTATCATTAAAATTTGTTGAAGATGAATCACTTGTTACAGAAATTGATCCTCGTGTGAAAACTATGTTTGCTTCTCAAACAGCTGCTGATGCAGATAAAAAAATTGCACAATTACTCAGAGATGGAAAAAGAAATGAAGCTATTCAACATGCAAATGAACAAATTGAAATACTTAAAGATGCTCAACAATTTGATGATGAAAGAGGATCTATTGCATTATTACTTCAACTAGCTGAAAAAATACATAAGAAACTTAAAGATGAAACCGTCAATAGTAAACTTGTTTGTCAAGGATATGAATATCAAGCTCATTTAAAAGAAGAATGTGATGACGAAGATATGGGTTTTGGTTTATTTGATTAATTAAAATACATTGGAAAGATTTGTTTTTCCAAGAATAAAATCAAATAGATTTGTTGAATTTTTATTTTTTAAATAAAAACTAAGTCAACAGAATAGATAAAAATATTTTTTCAGGGAAGCAATGCTATATCAGTTCAAATAACATTCATAACAAATTTTATATAGAATTAAACCGCGTCGAAAATGGAGTTTATCGATGATAAATAGTAAAGGTTATGACAGGGTTTCAGTATCGAATTTTATACTATTTTGACATAGAAAAATTCGTTTCATAAAATAGTTCAAAGTAGATCTCATATAAAATAATAAATAACACACAGTACTGTTTATCTCTTAAGGTTTGATGAATATGGTCAATAATCAGTATGGTGACCATCAGCTTTCTTTACAAAACAAAGATAAGACGAATATGAACATAAAATAGTTTCAAATAATTGAATATTTGTTTTCATATTTGTCAAAACATTTGAAATATGTTTTCCACGGTTTCTTCAGCGTAACGATTGTATTCCATCTCTGATAGCATTTTGTTTCAGTTCCATTTTTGATTATTATTTCAATATTTTCGAGCCAGATGAAAAGTTAATCTCATATTTTATTACGTTATTTATAATAAATATGAACTTTTCCATTTCCGTTTATAGTTTTTTACTGCTTTATGTTCATTAGAATCCTACATATTTAAAAGACCGTAAGCTTTGTGATATATTTATTTCCATTTTATTGTTTATATAATGCATGTTTTGGATTTTTTGATGTCCAGCTCAATCAAAACAACGCCGTTTACGATCCGAAAATGGAACATAAATGCCGTAAAAATGGGATATTTACTGCAATATAGAGTGCCAATACAGTTCGCTTCCGGCCCGTGTTAGACCGTATTATCTGACGCCGAAATACGCTCCCTATTGTATCTGCATCATAAATGGCCGTAAATACACCGTCTTTTATCCGTTTACGACCATTTTTTTGTTTCAATCCTTCTACAGTTCGCTGAATTACAAGGGTATGAGTATGGGTATTGATCATCTCTTCGTCCACACCCTGTGGTTGTGGATTGGATGAGATAAAGGCACAGCCACAGCGGCAGCCAAACCCATCAACGCTTACACCCCAATAATATACTACACATTAGCATGTTGCCTTTTCAATATAATATGAATGCCATTTTTCAAAAAGATTATATGAAAATCTTGGCATTATGTTAGCTGTATTGCACTACTACTCTTAAACGATGATTGCAATTTCAGTGAGTCACCTATCAAAGAATTGTACTTCCGACAGAGACACAACTTCTCAACATTTGTTGCAGTAGCGATGTGCGAACGTTTTTCTTTTCTTTCTTATATTTTTTTTATCGTGAAAAAAAAATATGAGTCTCATTCAATTTAATTCTACCTTTTATTTGCACAACTTGTCATTTCTTGCAACGTGTCTTTTGTGCGAAGCGACAAAAACAAAGATACCATCGAATTGTGAGTAAAAACAATGTGAATAGAAAAAGTTGAGTTTCTCTAAGTCAAGCAGACAAATAAGTCGATTTTGTATACAAATTTTCTCTACAAAAAGAACAAAGTTTGAGATTTTTGAGTAATATAATCTTAATACCAATTTTCGCACAAAATCTCAATTTTTTATGCACTTTTTCAGCTACATTTCAGTTTTTTGAGATATTTTTTGGCTTTTTGAATTTTTTTCTAACTTATTTTATACAAAATTTGACTGAAAATATTGCAATTTAGCTGAAAGCTGTTACTGCAATCCCTTGCGCGATTGAAAATGTGAGACACAACGTAGCTGCTGTGTCCAATGTTCTAAAAACTGTTGTTTTTTTTTTATGCATATTGGCCTATATTTCTTCATTGTCGTTTACTTTACATTACAGAACTTGAACAGGATAATACCACATAATCCTCCAATCATATGTTAGTTGTGCACTATCTCTGATACTTCCTTGAAGCCTTCTATTCTCGCCTATCCATATTTTAAAGAGAAAGAGAGAAATTGTCCTCTTCTCATCATTTATCTGGAAGTAATTGATCGGTCGAATTCAATTGACAACCTTCATAGAATTCATTTTCACGAGATTTTACAACTTTATGAAATGCTGAACGCGTCATTCGACTTCAATGATGTGCATAATACATTATAAAAATTGAAATCATTCTTTGGTCATTGAATATGAAGTTTTTCTCTTAACAAAATATGACAGTGAGAACACATATTCTATCAAAATAATATCTCATCACGTATATCTTGATAATTTTTCATCTTTAGTCAAAGAAAAAACTTTCGAATTTTCAATTTATATAACTTAGTAAACAGCACATCTAGTCTAGCTGTCCTCAAATCTAAAATATTATGAGTATCGATATAGATTTGGAGCTAGTCTCTGTATTCAGAATAAATGTGAGTCTTCTGTTTAACCAGAACTCGTCCTTCTCTCTGGACAGATAGTTTTCTTTGTAGATTCTAGAAAGATTCTGAAATGAAATTGTGATTGTTGAAATATGAATGAGTATTCATTTTTGTGTCATTTAGAATAAAACAAATTGACTTAAGTTTATTCTAATAAGAATTAATATTTCTCCAAAACAAGGATCGATTAAGCCGTATCTGTCCTATGTTATCTTTTGTATTACTACATGCTCATATGGAAAAAAAATAGTAGAATGACAAAAAAAATAATCACATACTCTGATTATGCAAGAAAATAATTTGAATGCAATGATAGTATTTTCATCAGAATCCTATCGAGTTGATATTGTGATTATTATTAAAATAAGCTTTCTCAGTTTTTCATTATTGTAGAAATACTTTTCTAATAAAGTAATCACATATTGTAATGATGCCTGAGATGTTCTGTTATTTAATATATTGATTTATTAGTGTGAGATGTAGAGGATTAGAAGTGCCACACCTACCAGTATAGAAATAAATCTTTGAACGAGTAATTTTATGTTATCGAAATATTTCAAATTCTCTATTAATTGAAACATTTGAAAAAAAAGCGAAAAAGAGAATTAAAAACTAAAATCTATTTTTTTTAAGGTTCGTTATAGTAAAAAATTCATCAACACATTACGTTATTCTTGATGAAAATAAATGAGAAAATTTTCAAACATATTTTTGCCCTTGAAGTAAACAAATGACTAAATTTTTATTTGGAACATCATCAAATATGATACACTAAATGAAAAAGAGTTGTCATTTACGAAAAACAAAACAAATTCTAACTTGTATCGACATAAATTGATTTTCTACAAGAAATCTCGCTCGCTCTTGACTAAAATGCATTGAAAATTGTTATAATTTTGTTTCTCAGTTTTTATTACAAATGAATTAACTCATATTTGAGACAATTGAATGAGAATCGATTCGAACCATATATGAAGAATATTAAATGAATCACTTTCAATTTTTTCTTTATAAATATTCAAATGAATTCATTTTAGATCGAGATATATATAGAATAAATTCCATTATTTCAGTGACTTTCTTCAAGAGATATGGCAACAAGAAACAATTCGAAGTTATGTACAATCTGCAATAAGTCTTCAGCTACATCCTTCTGTATTGGATGTGAACAACACTTTTGTCGAAAAGATTTCAAAGAACATGAACGACAGCTATCGATTACATTTGATAATGAAATAATAAGATCTCATGATGAACTTCTTGATCTAATACAGAAATTAGAAAAATCAAATTATTTATCATTACATGTTTTTGATCAAATTGAACAATGGAAACAAACAACAATCAATAAAGTGAAAAAAGCAGCAGAAAAAGCTCAAAATGAACTTATTCAATTCATTGAAAATCAAAAATTAACAATAATAAAACAATTGGAACCAATTACTAAAGAAATTCGTTCTCTTCGAGAAGAAGAAAATATTGTTGAAACTGATATTGATCGACTTCGAAAAAAAATCAATGATATGCGACAAAAACTTCAAGAGTTTACTCAAAAAGACACAAATAAAAGCATCATTGTTAACGATAACCAAATTGATTGGAATCGACTCATTTACGTCAGACGAGAAGAACAACAAAACTGTAAGCGTTTTGAACTAAATATATTGGGAAAAAGAAATTTCTCACCAAATCAATCAAATATTTTTGTATTTCATTAATCGATCTTAACTAGTTCATTCATAGATTAGAATTACTTCAAAATATACACTATCTCCGAGAAAATTAAATTAGATATAATTCGCAACTTATCATGTTTACAAAACTACACAAATTTCTGTAGAAGATAGAATGGATTCAACCCTCTAGAATTTTAAGTCGAATCATAATACGAATGATTTCTATGAAACGATCTAGAATACTTATTTGGATGAAACATTAAAAGAAACGTTTATTACTGAACATTTGAAGTTACAAGAGGTCTTCCATAGATATCAAAGTTCATATTTATTCTCTTTTGTTTTCGACCTTTCAGCTTATTACAATGAGAAGAACATTAACTTTTGTGCATTTCAAATCATGGACTCTTAATCGAAGATGTCCACAGGGCAGAACAGGGTGAGACCTTCATACTCTGCAAATTTGAACATTCACTTTCTGAGTTTTCATTTTTGAAAAGTGTTTCTTTTGTTTTTACGAGTCAAAAATCGAAAATGAATTACAGAAGATAGTACCAGTCGTTCAGTTGAATTTTCTACTGTGGGTTGGGTCTTAAATGAAAAATCATGGATAAAAATATCAGCCCACTATACCAAGAAGTATGTTAAGTATTTGACTAGTTATTAGAGACAAAAGCACCCTGTATAATCTTAAATTTCATTGGACGAATTCTGCCTATACTAAGTAGATTGCATATCTTATAAACATTTTAAAAAATCTCAGAACATCTCTTTTTTTTACTTGAGGTCATTTTTGAGATTTCTTTTTGCTTCAAATTAATAAACTTGACTAAATAAATATCTGCTCTTAGAGTATTTTCATAACTTCTAGAATTTCTAGCGAGAAAAAAATGATATTTTTTTTTTCTATATTAGAAATTATTTACTATTATATTATTATGATAATAGTAGATTCGAATGGCATTCAGAAAATCATCGAAAAACAAACTAAATATATTTATATCATATAGGTTAAGAAATTCTACGAAAGAATTTGTAAGTTATATTATATCAATTCGATATTATTGTTCTTATTTTCATTATTGCTTTAACAAATATGTTTAAGTATGATAATAATTTCTTTTCGTTACTAAGAAAACAGATCTAAAAACAATCTAGAATTCGGAAAAAATCAAAAAAAATTTTTTTAGATAAAACAGTAACGAGTTTTCATCAATTTGATGAAAGTCTTTTTAGTCTAATGAAACTACTTAATGTATTAAGATGATATTGTATCATAAGTATCAAACATGGCTGATGAATGATAGTTTATGCTTAATTGAAAAAAGGATTTGCTTTTATAAAAAAAAAGCTATACAATTAAAAGAGCAGCTTAGACACATATCCTAATTAATGTTTTATAGAGATCGTTTTTCAACCTCTATCATGGGAAACTTAAAATGGACACGGCTTTAAGCATCTTGATATTTCATTTCATCATTTCTTTTCTTCTTTCGAACATCCTATACGATACGAAAATGAGCTGAATATCGCTGAAAGGATCGTAAGATTTCCTTCTCAAATTCTAATACTAAACTAGAACATAGAAATCTCCTTAGAATTTCATGTTAAGCAGTTTTCTCTTCCTCGACATTGAAAGCATTTTCTTACAAAGTTCTTTTTTTTTTAAAGACTACGTTACAGAAACACTGTCTCATTTATAGTACTTTCTCGTGTATGAGAGACAAAAATCTCTTCGATAATGACGATCTCTTTTCTGTTTCGTTCATTGTAGTAATTCCTAATATTCCAGAGAAATTATCCTGGGTATTGATTAGGATCGACATGTGTGTACTAAACAGAGATGAGCAACTACACTCTGTCTTCCTCCAACTCCACATAACTCCAGTCCTATTTTCTAAAATCCTACTCCAACTTCAATTTAACTTCAATTCGAGTCGGATTTTACAAAACTGAACTTCTGCCAAAACACTCGTAAATACACATAAATTTTTGAACTTAATTAAATCTACGATTGATATAAATTAGTAGCATATTAATTTATTGCTTTATAAACCTTCTCATAAAATTCAAAGATAGGCACCTCCATTCTGTCCTGTTCCTGCTCCATTTTCACTCTAGTGAGAAAAAGTATCAACTTTGGAGTTGGAATTGCCCATCTCTGATATCAACCATTCCAAAATACTTATTCTTCAGATCCTCCTGAATATATCCATAACATGTGAGCTTACAGAAGATTTCTCAGAACAAGTACTACATAAGGATTATAACATGATCCTCATAGAAGATACTCATTATTTTTAGATTTTCAGATTTTGACAGAGTATCTTATTTAGTCACCACGATTCTCTTTGAGGACCCTAATACAATAGTTTGAAGATGGTGTTCATCAAAAGTTAAAAATAGCATTTTAGGACACTTTCTGCCTATCCCATTATCACCGCCCTTTTCAAAGCCCATAAAAGCCATAGATTCCAATATTTGTCACTGGAAAGCTCCGTTAGGGTTGACATCCATCTTTTCAGCATTTGAAAAAGTAGAAGCCCTCTCAGATTACATAGATTCGCGTGGAATCCTCTCAACTTTGTTCAGTTTCGCCTGTATCCAGGCCTTCTCATGATCCTACTCAGAGTACATCACGGTTGTTCTTCGAACAGCTTCACATAACTTACCAAAAGCCTTATAAAATTTCACCGGCATTCTCTATGCAAATATTTAGGAGATTCTTCGGCAGATCTACATTCATCATACAGAAAATCATATATCCTTAAGGTTTTCCAAAAAAAAACATAGGGATTAGGTTTAATATTTTGTTGTTCAACGATTCGATATTCTTCTCACAAGATACAGATAGAATCTTCTCTGATGTTCATATAAATGATCATTCTGCCAAAAAGATTCTGAATTCTTGCAATTCTGAAAAAAATCCTCAGATCCTTATGTTTTTCTATCAAAAACTTACATGGAATTAGTATTACTCTTTCTTGGAGAACCTCCTTACAGCAATCTCCAGGTGTTGTTTTTATGATCAAAAAGATCTTGGCAAGAACTAGAAGTAACACAGATGTAAGAATCGTTACCAAATCCTTTTTTCGCATACGAAACTAGGAAAAGACTTTTGAATTTTTATCTACGAAACGAGCATTCTCAAAAATGAATGTCGTATTTTGTAGCGCTTGCTCTCACGAGAGACGAGAGCCCTTCGACAACGACGATTCCTTTTCTTTTTTGTTCATTGTAGCAATTCTTAATATTCCAGCCGATGCCCGATGGGCACAGAATGGAGTGACTGTTGCTGGAAGCCATGGAGAAGGCAGTGCCACCAATCAACTCAACTACCCTCATGGTCTCGTCGTTGATGATGATCAAACGATGATCATCGCTGACTACAACAATCATCGTATCATCCAATGGAAGATGGATGATAAGAATGGGCAAGTAGTAGCTGGTGGCAATGGCCAAGGAAATCGATTGGATCAATTGAATTGTCCAACCGATGTGTTGATTGACAAAGAGACAGATAGTCTCATTATTTGTGACCGGAACAATCGACGAGTCGTACAATGGTGTCGTCGTAGTGGCACAGTTGAAGGAGAAATTCTCATCGACAACATCGTTTGTTGGGGATTGGCCATGGATGATCAGAGATATCTCTACATCTCTGACACCAACAAGGATGAAGTAAGACGATATCAAATAGGAGACAAGAATGGAACTCTTGTGGCTAGTGGCAATGGCAAAGGTGCGAATCTCAATCAACTCAACGAGCCGACCTACATCTTTGTCGATCAACAACAGACTGTCTACGTGTCAGATTGGAACAATCATCGTGTGATGAAATGGAATAAAGGTGCAAAAGAAGGAATTATCGTCGCTGGAGGTCAAGGCTATGGGAATGCTCTGACACAATTGTCGTACCCTCGAGGACTGTTCGTCGATACATTGGGTACCATCTATGTGGCAGACTCGAATAATCATCGAGTGATGCGTTGGCATAAAGGAGCGAAACAGGGCACTGTCATTCTGGGTGGAAATGGTAAAGGAGAAGGAAAAAATCAGTTCAACTATCCCTGGCGTTTGTCCTTCGATCGACATGGCAATCTCTATGTCGCCGATTGGATGAATCATCGTGTTCAACGCTTTTCAATTGAATAGACTCAAAACGATGGATTATTTTGTTTGCGTTCCTTTCGTTTCAAATAAATTGCATTGAATTGATGAAATGAATGGCTTATTCTATTCGTGCGCGCGCGACCAGGAACCATCCTGGTGGAGCCGTGGCGAGCGTACCGCTCATGCACGCACAGGACAGACTCATACCATTTATACCCACCCCGCGAGAGATATGTCAATGAGTCTGAATAAGCCTGGTCGTGTGCCACGAACACCAAGACGATTCCTGGCCGAGCTTTTAGGGACTACCCGGAAGTCCTTCATAAGAGGCGAAGCCCTAACCCTCAACGGACAGAACTCACCCTCGTCTCTCACTAAAACTCACTTTTCTGAGTCTCATCCTCATCCTCCTCAATCTCAATATCATTATCTAACCTCATCCTCCCTCTCACCTTATCCTCTTTCTCAAAAGAAAAAAAAAGAAATAATTACTTACGTGTTCGAATGTTGGACGATGATAAAGAAGACGCGATGATGTTGAAGACTGAAAAGAAAAAGAAACAAAAATGAATTAATGTTATATTATGAGAAAATATTAGTTAACTTACCTTCTGTTATCTTTTCCTAGTTGATAATAATCATAGAACCTAAAGCAAAAGACAACAAAATAAAAGATTAAAAAAATTACTTAGCATCTTTGATTTCTTCATATTCATCTAAAAGAAAGAAAAAATTTAAAAAAAAACAATTTTTACTTACTTTCAATATTTAATGGCTAAAATAGAAAAAAACCAAAGCTTAAAATAGATCAAAAGAGGACTTATTACCCTCCATGTGATCCAAAAGAAAAAAAAATGAAAAACTGATACCTACATTTTATTTTATTGCTTGACGTTGAATTGTATAATTTTGTATTTTTGAAATCAAGC